CCTTCTCCGAGTACTCTTGCGCGAGAGCCGCGCGTCTGCTCAATGCCGTTGCTCTGCAGCACCAGCTCGCGGGCCTATTGACGTGTCAGCTTCTACTCAGGTCGCAGTTACAAGGAAAAAAAGAAAGTGACGTACCCTCGCAACATCGCCCTCCCCCTCAAACTTGCGCCCAACCAGCGCGCCCAACTCCGGATTCGCCTTCCACGCGTACAGCAGCGGCGCCGTCGCGAGGCCGAGCTCCAGATCCGCGCCCGCCGGCTTGCCGAGATCCTTCTCGCTCCTCGTGTAGTCGAGCATGTCGTCGACGAGCTGGAACGCCAGGCCCAGGTTCTTGCCGTAGGCGTAGGCCGCCTCGACAGTCGCCGCATCGGCGTTGCCGAGGAGAGCCGACGCGCGGCACGACTTGGAGATCAAGCTCGCCGTCTTGAGGTACGTCTTGCGCAGGTAGTAGTCGACGGCCTCCTGCGACCAGGCCGGGTTGCGCTCGTCCTGCGCCGTGTTCTTCAGCTGCATGAACTCGCCCTCGACGAGGTTCGCGATGACGGTGGCCAGGAGCTCGATGACCTCGGCGTCGCGCAGGCGGGCGAGAGCGACGGACGCACGGCCGAGGAGAAAGTCGCCTGCCAAGACGGCCATTTTATTGCTGAACTCGAGGTTGGCGGAGGGGGACCCGCGGCGTGACACGGAGTGGTCGATCACGTCGTCGTGCAGGAGGGACGACGTGTGGATGAGCTCCGTAATCTCGGCAAGCCGGCGCTGCGACGGCAGAATGTCCGAGTTGGATTGCTGAGGGTCCAGCGGCGGGCCGGTAAAGGGCGAAGTCGGGTTCACGTCGGAGAGGATACCGTCAGGGGAGATGGGCGAGTTGATGCCCGCATACGTCTGCGTCGGCGCTCGTCGTTCTGCCTTGGGGCAGAGAGCTGTCGCCCGTGCCATCAGCAGCACCACCAGCGGCCGGATGTGCTTGCCCTCGGCATGTGTGTAGTATTTCGCAACCTTTTCCAACGCGGGATGGCCTGAGCCGAGGAGATTCCGAATGTTGCCGGTCAAGAACTTCATTTCCTTGGCTACTGTCCGCAGGGGGTCGATGTGCATGTCACCCTTTGTGACACGGTTGATGGCGTTGGAAGCCATGTGTCCGGCGACCTGGACAGCAGCGCCCCATGCTGATGACCTCCTCGGGGTGTTGTGGTATGATGCAAAGTGCGACGGAAACCTCGGATCGACTGCTGGGCTGCATCTCGGCCGAATAGCACATGTAGAGATGAGGAGAGACCGTGACGCCTGGTGGCTGTTGCGCAGCGTCAAGGCTCCTGGCCGGAGCTGCATGGCGCCAAAGTGGTCCTGTTGAAAGCCTTTGTGTGGTGTTGAAGCCGCTCTTTGAACGTCAATTGGCGAGATCACTACGGATTCTTACGGATACAGGCGCCAGCAAGTGTCGATGGACGGTGGTCGCCGAGGTTGACGTCGATGGTTATCCGCTGATGATGATGAAATGAATTCGCTTTTTTCTCTCTTGCCCTCCATCGGCTCAGTACGGAACGCCCGCGCAGCGTGGGTGGAGCGTTCTGGTGTTGTGATTGGCTGAAGCTATGACTGGGGCCATCCGTAGCTCCCTGGTGCAACGCTGGTGCCTACTGGCTTTCAAGGCACGATGTACCATGATCTGCGACTCGACAATTCGATTGACGAAGCTACATCAACGACATCGACCATTTCGACCATGGTACGCCTCACCATGACGCCTTCCATCGTGGAGGGCCTGAAACTTCTGCACAACCACGACGGTCCTCAAGCGACATCTGAAGAACAGACGGCCGAAGCCCGACAGACACAAACAGCCATCGATGCAGAGCCGTCGCTGAAGGATCCTCAGCCCGGAAACCCCATCACACATGCCCAGGTCCTCCGTCTGCGGAAGAAGCTGAAGGGTGGAAGCCATCAAGATTTCTCGCTGGAGAGTCTTCTGCGAGGATCACAAGTCTACAGCCCACCCCCACCACCAAAACCAGAACCAGTAAGATTCTCGTCTCGAGCACCTCGCCCGCCCCTCGCTGACCATGCCCAGTCGCCAGAGTACAAGGCCCTCATGGCGCGCCTCCGTCGTTACGAGGAGCAACGCACGTACGAGCGCATGCTCAAGCAACCCTCTCGAATGCAGGCCTTCTCGCAGCAGTTCCCAACCGCCCTCTCGACCGTGCAAGGGTTCGCCGAAGTCAACCGACCGATCGACAAGTCAGACGAAGGCGACAACGAGGTGACATTCGAAGAGGTTCACCGTCAGGTTATGCTCATCTTCAACTTCATGGTGAGTATCCTCGGTGTCGCCGGCACAATCTGGGTCGTTGCGCGGTGGTGGAGTACCCCCGCGCGACTCTTCGTCACCATGGGCGGTGCTCTCGTAGTGGGCATCGCCGAAGTGGCCGTCTATTCTGGCTACATATGGCGCATGGGCGAGGCGAAGAAGCAGCAGGCCAAGGTGAAAGAGATCAAAGAGGTGGTGCAAACCTGGCAGGTTGTGGCAGAACCGGGAGAAAAGGCATCAGATGGCGTGTCAACAGCGGAGATCATTTCACTGGACACGAAAAGAAAACAAGATGCTACTGACGAGGGTATACGACGACGGCTGAAGGGCGAAAACTAGGCTATAATGAACCAACCCAACCTGTTATGAATACTCGCCCGAATGCCACTGTGCTTGTCGCTTTCACGAAGGGCTCGAATGATCCGATAAGATAAGGCCCTAGGATTTCTTCCAGACATCCGTCATCGGTGATTTCACCTACATCACGTGCCCTCGCGATGGCGCGTCAAGACGCGCCCGAGCGCGTAAACATGCGATTTCTGGTGGGGCATCGTCATTCCTCTAATGATCGCCTTACCAGCCTCGTACTTCCATAATACCACTTCATGCACGATTGACAAACTAATCAGCACTGCACTCGTTTCCAGAATTCGCCTTCTTCGATACCTCCCAGCAATTCTAGGCATCCAACGCATATATAGACCGATCATTCGAGACCACCATTACTCATCGCGACACACCTCGAAGCATTGCGGCCCAGCCGCCTTCTCTCCCGTTATCTCTCCCGTCATGGACAATCTTCACGCGTCCAGCCTTGTCGCCCCCCAGAATGACAACAAGAAGTGAGGAATCAAGGACTCGCTCTGGCAATCACATGACTAACCCCTTGTCGCAGGAGATCATTGCGTACGTACGGCAAGAAGCGAACCTTACAGACGAGCGACGCCGCCGCCACGACCGACAAACGACGACGCATCACGGCAGCCGAACCTGAACTCCCACCGCCATCTACAGCCAGCCGCCAATCCCCATCATCGTCAACAAGCAACTATGGGAAGGGCTCGATATTGAACTACTTCAAACCATGCCTATCGAGCTGCGATGCCAGCCTGACGGACCGCTCATCAGACCCACCGCACATGTCTTCCACTCCGCCATCCTCACCACCACCCACTGAGACGAAGAGGACACCGCGTCGGCTGCGCCTACGACCGCCAACGCCAGTGATCGTGCCACTTGGGACAGTAGATTTGGAGGATCCGAAAGCGAGCGAAGAGAACAGGCCATTCTCCACACAATACAAGGGCAAGGCGTCCCAGATGCCTGGCAAGAAGACGGGCGCTGTCCGCTCCACCCTCCAACAATCACCAGATACAGCACTCAACACCAAATTACCGTATAGCGAGGCTGAGGAGGGACAAAAAGCCAAGCCGACCCGTTCCAAGTCCGCTCCTATACAAACAACGATCAATCTATCAACGAAGCCGGCCTTTGAGGAATGCAAGATGTGCCATATCGTCTATAATCCATTGCACCCGAAGGACGTCAGATACCACACCCAAAGACACAAGGCGATTATGAGAAGCCAAGGGAAGGAATGAGTGTAACATTGCGAGGGGCGTGTTTCGAGTCTAGCGAAGATACCAGGGATACCGCATTTGGTTTGGGTCATGAACATGCTTATGAATTCTACTGGTCTTAATTGATATTCTCACAGCCTACTTTGTCCCCCCTTACCCGTCACCCGTGGTATTCGTCAAGCGATTCTTCGTCCATCGGCAGATATTCCCACTCCACTATCCCCGGTCCTTCAGCAACCCCACTCCGAGGTCTCGCCATCGTGATTCCGGACATTGAAGTGGGCCATCAAGGCCCCGACAGCAACCATGAAGTAGTTTTTTTTTTTTTTCTTCAATTCACGCAGGTTCTTCTCGTCCGCCCCATCCGTACACCATGAGGCCCGCTGCGAAGCCGGCATTCAACAACAAGCAACCTGCCTGCCCGGCTAGCTCAATCGGTAGAGCGTGAGACTCTTAATCTCAAGGTTGGGGGTTCGAGCCCCCCGTTGGGCTCAATTCCTGACGCATCTCGCAAGAGAACTTCATCGTTTGCTCGTGTGGGCTAAGATTACTCGCCGTCAGACACTGTCAGACACTGTCAGATGCCTTTGACTTTTTTCCAGGGGTTATTGCAAACTTGTGTTCGAACAGAGTCATCCTCTGCGCAACCTTCCACTTTCTGATATGCAAGCAGCTATGTTTAAAGACTTGGCCCAGGATTCACAGCTCAACGCAATACCTCTTCAGTATCGTCGCAATAGCTGGATCTGTCGTCGAGCCAATCATGGCCTGGTCCGACCTTGCGCCAGCGCGCAACAACGCAGCCACTTTCTCCAGAGACCGTGCTTCGACGGCAAGCAACAGCGGCGTCCTTTTCTGCGTGTCGTGAAGGTTGACAACCTCTGTGATCTTGTCTTTCTCCCCCAAAGCCTCAACCTTCTGCAGAAGCGCCTTCAGAAAGTCGTCGTCACTGGCGCGTACCGCACCGTGCAGGACTGTTTCGCCGTCAATGCTGCGCCGACAAAGCGCGGCAAAAGTTGAGATCCGTGGCAGGAGGAGCTCGAAACCGTGCGGGAAACGGCAGTCAATGGTCCAGCAGAGAGCCTCTGTGTAGAGCGAAGCACGGAGACCTTCCACGTCACGCTGGAGGCTCGGGTCTAGCGCGGAGAATGCTCTTTCGTCAGCTTCAACGAGGAGCGCCAGGATGGATAGCTTGCGTTCGGGACGGTCAACAGAGGCTCTGAGGAGCGGCGAGGTTCGCATTTTCCCATAGTCCATGAGATCGACGACACGGCCTAGGCCCGTGGACAAGGTTGTGGCGCCGGCGCTGTCGTCGGTCCTGAGGAAGTCTAGGATCGTCCGTACACAGTCCGCTGAACCTGTCTCAACTGCAAGGGCGAGAGGTGTCCTTGCATGGACAGTGCGGCTGGTGGGCGCTACGCCTTTCTTCAGGGCCCAGTCCATCATTTTGGCATTACCCTGCGTGGCTGCTTTGTGGCAGAGATTGTGCCCTTTCAGATCGGTCATGCTGACATCACAGCCTTGAATCACCATCCGGTCGGCCAGGTCGAGGTATCGAGTGTTGTATGCTTCGCTCGCATATGCGGGTATGACACGCGCCAGAGAGAGCAATGGCGTTTCGCCTTCTCTGTTCCGCACGTGCAGATCGGCGCCCTTGTCGATGAGTACCGTCGCGGCCCTCAAATGTCTCCCCTCCAGAGCTTGTGTCAGAAGCGACGACTGTTTCCCGTCTTGTGCGGCTTGGTCGGTGTCGCGGATGTAATCAGCAACATACTTTTCGACCATGGTTCCAAGTAGTTCAGAGGTCGCTGTCTCCTGATTCGGCATACTAGCAGCGCAAATTTCAACTGCCAATACAGCCAAATCCGCGAAGGGTTTCGGCCACGTCGTCAGGACGAAGCTTACCACGTCGATTTGTTTGGTGCGCAGGCCCCTTCCAATCAGCACTTTGTAAGCCGTTTCTTCTGGGATACGAGCCTTCATTTTGCTAATGATTTCATCGTTTCTTGTTGCAATCAGCTGTGGTGCGGCATCCCAAAGGCTTTCTTCCCCAAAGAGCTCGAGAAGAGGCAGTACGATGGGAGTATAGGATGTTTCGAGCGCCACCTTGAGACACTTGGCCTTTTCCTCCTCTGTCAGGCCCCAAGCCGGAAGCTTGGCTCGATGCTTGACGAGGAGTTCGACGCCTTCCGTGTATGCATCTGCAACGGCCACATAGAGTGGTGACAAGGCTCGATGTCGCAAAGCTTCCCTGGTTGAAGAGCCAGAAGGGAACCTGTCGTCTCCGCCGCCAGGTGGTATATTTCGTTGCAGGCTGACCGCTGGCTCCGTCGATGTCGATATCCTATTTAGTCGCGGCAGTGGACTCGTCGCCGGATCGCCCCCAGGCGGCTGCGCTGCTCTCCCAATACTAGCTGACAGAAGACCTGAGATTGGGGCGGTGAGCTGAGAGCGCAAGCTGTTGTAAGTGTATGCTGGCTGTGGCTGACTGGCGGCTGCAGGCGTTGGCTCATTTATTGGATTGAAATGGGCACCATATTTTCCGGACGACGAAGGCCGCGACGCTGAAGGGCTGAAAAATGTGGAGGGGCTTGTGTCCGTTTGTAGACCATAGTAATCATATGGCTCAGGCACTGTCATGGAGGAGCCGGGTCTGTTGGTTCGGAGTCTGCTGACAGAATCGTCGCTGGGAGGCACATGCACCATACGATCTAGTAACGCTGTAGCACTTTTGATGAACCGCCTTCGAATCGCTGCATGTAACGGAGTCCACCCGTTCTTGTCCACCTCATAAGCCGCATATCCACTGGCCATGAGCTTGGGAATCATGGCCGTATGCCCAAGATCTGCCGCGTAGTGGAGAGGTGTCCAGCCATTATCATCGCGTCTTACGGTACCACGACGGTTGGTAGGGCTCGGCGTCATTGTACTGCCTCCACGACTACCTTTCCAACGCGGTGATCCATTCGAGGCTTCCAGACTGCGCGGCCACGTGGTGGAGCGAGCGTCCATCGTCAAGACAGATGTCTAGATTGGCTCTGCCTGAGAGATACTCGGTAAGCTCATCCCACTTATTCTCTACAGCCATGAAGATCGGAGTTCGACCCTGGTTGAGAGAGCTGGCGAGGTTCGGGTCCGCTCCTCCCTCGATGAGGCGCTGAACCATGAAGGAATTGCCGAGCTCAACCGCAACGTGCAGCGGAGAGCGTCCTTGCTTATCGAATTCGCTAAGGAGATCTCCCAGTCCCAGACGCAGAATGGCGTCAACGATCTCCCATTGCTGATTCTCTAGTGCGAGATGCAGCACATTTCTGCCGTCTAAGGTTTGTGCTTTGAGGCCGTACTGATCAGGACCCAAGCCAAAGACCTGCTCAATGCCGTAAATGGCAGCAATGTGGTATGCGTTGCTACCAGGCGGGTTTCTGTACGTGCCATCAAGATACTGTCGCACCAGGAGCCAAGACGTAAACCGGGAGCTATCTTCAAAGAAGAACCTGTCGGCTAAACCCGTGCAATCATGGTCAGTAGAGTCAATGACAAGCTCGATTTTCTTCATGTGAGAAACGAGGTGGCTGACGGCGTAATCGAGGAATGGTGCCTTTGCAAAAGCCTGCAGATCTGAATCGGCATGGCCCCCGTCCAGAGCGAGGCGAAATGTCTCCCGAAATGTGTCCGAGTCGAAGTCGTTCATGCTGAGGTACCGAACGCAAGTCGCAAAGAGCTCTCTATGCGAAGTCATGTCGTCGAAGTGGAATTAGTCGTGGATCGCACTGGACTCAGCCGTCTTCCGAGTGAGGAATTCGTACACTGAACTGTGTGCAAGCTGGATCTTCTTGGTACGAGGCGACTGAGAGAGCATACAACCACACATTTCCAAGATGGCATCTTTCTGGCGTAGGCGAAGCAGTCCGGCTAGGCTTTTGCTGGAGGGTGAAATCGCTATGGCTTCGTCAATTTCGGCCAGATCTAAGGATCGAAATGAAAACATGACGAGTTGCAATATGCGAAGAGTCATCTTCCGGTCCTTGTCTTCGAGCGTCATGAGCACGTTCTCGAATATGCTCTCAAGTGCTGGTGGTAGTGTGGCAATGAGATCGGGGGTGATGGTGGTCCTGATACGCGACAGGTATTGGACCTGACATACAGCCCAGAGAAACCTGGATGACGAAATTGAGTAAGTATGGTTTAGATAAGGACGGATTGAGCGTGACTTACATGCCACCAGCTCGCGTGGCGAGTTCCATAACAAGTAGACCGGGGTCTAATTTCCTCTTCGTTGCCAGAGAGGAGTCCTTCCAAGTTATCACGCATGAACATTTGTACGTCAGACTCAACATCTTCGGGCAGGATCTCAACATTGATATATGATTCAAAGGCAGACTTCAGCTCTGTGTTTGGTCTGCTGGAGACAAAAAGCTTGATCGAAGTGGTCTGTGACATGTTGAGAGATCGAAAGATACCTAGGATGTCCTTGAAGTTATCAAGCTCGTCCAAACCATCGACAACAATGTAGACCATTGCATGAGCTTTGCAAAGCTCTAAGAAGACCGGTTTGAGTCTTGAGACGCGGGGATATGACGAGAATCGGGATCGCTTCATCATCGAGGTGAGGGTATCAGGAAGAGGCGAGTCTTCTGGCAGGTTATCAAGAAGCTGTGTGATGAGAGCACCGAGAAGCTGGTCTTGTGATCTCGTTGCCTCGTCCGTAAATCTGCAGAAGTGGAAGAGCAGGACCGCATCCTGGTCTAGACACTGGGTCTGGATAAAGTCGATGACTCGTGAACTATCTCACCATAATGAATGACAGTAGACACAGTGGGACATGGGACCCTTACACAATGATGGTCTTGCCAGCGCCCTCTAATTCAACTTTCAGTGATTTGACTGACGGCAAAAAAGGATACACTGGAGGGGGCGGAGGGAATCTTACGTGGACCTCGAAGCCATAAACCTGACTGCCCATCAGCTGTGAGCCAGTCGATGAACTCCTCGCGCTCAAAAAGCCATTGAGAGGACCCTGGGTGTCCTGTGTTGATTAGGTCATCTTGCATCGCTTCGCCCGGGAAGCCAAGCCATTCCATCATGCCATGCTGTTGTTCCTCTGATCACAATTAGCTACCAGACGGATGGTCACCAGGTATGTCAGGTCTTACTTCGTTCCTTCAATTTGGCCTCCTGCCTTGCGCGATCTTGCTCGTCCCGTAGGCGATCTAGTGATGACATGATCTTCCCGCTTATCTTCTGCGAGGATCTGATATCCTCACTTTCAGATGTCAGTGGACTGAGTGATCTCCAATCTCTCTCAACTCCCACTCACTTATTCTGCAGTTGCAAACACAGGATAAAGAAGCTCTTCGACGTCTCAGTCTGGGTGGTAGATTTCTGAAGCTTCTCCCAGAGACTGTTGCCCTTGATAAGCAACTGTGCCTTATTCGCCTTGGTGAGTGAATCCAGGATTTCAAGCATCTCCACCAGCACCGCTTCGCACTCGTCAACCTTCTTCCTCCACAATGGTTGATTCTTGATGATGAGGTGACTCATGGGCGAGGCAATGTCGTCGCCGCGCTCTTTGCATTGCGACTCGATTGCCATGAGGATCCCCGAGAAGCTGGAGACGTCGTTGACGGCTGTGCGGACATCGTCATCGTTGCTCTTCAGTCGCATCATACACGCATAGCCCCGCGTGATGATCTGGGCCGTGAGGGTGAGGAGTCCGGCGGTGGTCCCAGCGATGGACAGAGGATCCATGACGAGCGATATATTGCTCAGGTCACAGAGATGAGACCAAGTCCACGACAAGATGTGGTGAATAGCATGAGGGGTCTTGGTAGGAATGTCGCCAAAGCTGGAGTCGGATCAAGTAGATGCCCCTGATTGCACAGGAATTTCAGCTCCCAGACTGCAGCTGAACCTATGGTCTGTCTGCTGCAGCTTTGCATCAATCCACATGCCCCTGGCGCACAGCGGCTGACGACCATGCAGCTCAGCCCCAGCTTTGCGCACGCAGAGATTGACCCAACCATGGCGTGATGCTGGCATGCATAGCAGGGCAGGCTGGGAGAGAAAAAGCAGTGGGAGTGGAATTCGTCACTCGACAGACGGTTATGGTGCTGGATTAGTGAGTTGGATAAGGCTGCGCGTGCCTCGTCGACGAGGCCCAAGTGAGTGACTTTTGGACTGGGGTCAGACTGTCTGGTCGTGGTGCATCCATCACCGTAGGCGAAGCGTCCGCAACAGATCAAAGCGAGGAAGTAGAGGCGATTCAGGACGAGGGGATTGTTTGAAAGCATCCCGTTCGGGACAAAATCACGAGGAAGGTGGTCAGCTTTTTGAACAAAAAATCGCTTTTCATTTCGAACTCCCCAGGAAGTATTCCGACACCCTAAGCCGAAGACTCGACATCATACTCAACGTCTGTCCGTATCACATACTTGGCGCCATTCCTCACGCCCGTCCCTTCGTGAAGCAGCGCCCCCCGCGTCTCGCCGTGAGGGAAGATTGCCACACCGCCCATCACTGGCTTGACGGGATAAGCATTGAGCGTGCCCTCTCGCTGCGCCGGCATGAAAAACGTCGTCTCGCCACCTTCGAAATCATCGTTCAGGTAGATGAGGAAGGTGAAGAGCGAGCTCTGCTTCTTCTCCTGAGGCGATGCGTCGTACACGTACGTGTCATCAGCAAGGATGCCTGACGGAGGCCAGGCCCCATCGATGTGTGTGCGATATTCGGCGCCCGGGACGTAGCGGTAGACGCGGAATCTTCGGTTCAATCCGCGGGCCAGACGCCCATTCACTGCCGACGGTAGATAGGGAGAGATTCGGGACCACAGTGTGTCGTGGAACGCAGTATCGATGACCCAGTAGAAGTTGTGGGCCAAGATACTAATGTCGCCGTCCTCACGCAGAGGTGCGTCAGGCAAGAAGTTGACGGTTTCGCCAGCAGCAATGATGGCTTTACATTCGTCAGGAGAGAGAAGATTTGTGGCGAGGTGAAGGTTTGGGACGGTAGGATGGTCATGATAGGTGATGGCATGAGGTGTTGGCGAGAGGGGAATCGCGTTCGGGGCGGTTGTGTAGAGGATTGCCGGATGATGGTTTGGGGGCTTTCGCATGGGCCCTGGTGTCTCTTCAATGACCCGCAGGTCTTTCGCAAGGTTTGGTGGTGCCGAGTCGAATATGGACTGATCGAGAACTGAGGCTCGAACTTTGAGGCTTGGCGTCGAGGGTCGAAGATCCCAAATCTTTTGGAGAATCATCGGAGAGGTTGGGTGCGTCGCAGCGTCCATGTTTGCGTCAACAGGCCCTGTGACGCGGAGGACGCCGTCCATAACGCTGAGGATCTCGAGTTCGCTCGCCGATCGTTCAACCTCCGTTCCGTGCCCTGCTGGCAATGTCGACAGACCACTGATCATGTCGAGGTCGCGGACCCAGCGACACAAAGCACCCAGTTTGGGCTCCTCGCCCCTGATTCTCATTTCCGCCAACATGATCCTCGCATCCATGTATTTGCCATCCGTAAGTGCTGCCGTTATCCGCGCCGTCAGACTCGTTCCTGCTGCTGCAGAGGACGTTAGTGATTATATTCGCCACCGTATGACTGCCATTTTTCATCGTTGTCCAACATACCAGCGCTGTTGACACCCGTGGCACAGGCTTGGCGAAATTCATAGGCGGCGACTCGGAGATCCTTGCAGAACTTTGACTTGATCAGGTTTGGATATTGGGCGAGCGCCGTCAGCGTTTCGACGGTGATTTCGAGTTCCTCTTCCGAAACAACGGTCTGGAGACTCTTAGGCTCCTGTGTCGCGCCGTCGGGAGGGGGCGTGATGGTGCTGATGGTCTTGAGATTCTTGTTCGGCAGGTCGGCCTGGGCCGTCTGCTTTCGCTTTCGAGACTTGGACTTTGCCATTGTTGAATTCGATTGTCGGTTGAATTGATGGGGATGAAGGTGGGCTGTTCCGACGAGAGGAAGTTGGCTCGAGTCTTCGGCACTGGTGCGGAATCGATCCGCCCCCGCGCAGTGACCCTGCCTCAGCGTTTAATTGCATATCTATTCGATTAAGAGTACTCTGTTTCATGGGAGCCAGGTAATTGTAGAACTACCAGCGTAAGTTCGTTGATTGGCAAGACAGCTTGGATAGCCAATCTAGGTAGACTACATTAACTGGTGCATTTTTCAGTGTTCATGTACCTGAATGGACGATACAGCTAATCTGACGCTGTCACGAGAACATGACGTTGCTGACACAAACAAGCCGACAGCAGCGGGGATTCCAGTACATCCACAACACCATCAGCCGGGCAATTGATCCCTCAAACAATACAACCTGCCATGAGACAAGACACGTAACCTTGCCTTGGTTTCCTGGCTATACAATTGCAGGATCACAGTTCAACGTGGTTGAGGCGCCTTTGGGCGATCACATGGGAGCTTGGGCCACTCCCCCGCCTAATCCACAGGCTTCCAGAGTGGAAAGCCCCCCACCAGCACAGGCCAAGCTCGTGATCAGGACGCGGCTGCTGGACGACCTTCCGTCATCCAAGTCCACCAGCTGGAAGCTTGTCCCTAGACGCAGGCATTCCGCACGACTCGATACCAGGCGGACGGCCTGTCATTGCGATTCAGTTCCATTGCACTTTGATCTGTCAAGCTGCAGGCGGCTTCTGCTCGCAATGCGACCCCTCACGACTGCAGGCAGCCACCCCCATTCGACCCCAAGATGTCCGTATTCACCCTCACAATCGACCCACGCGACCCTTTTGACCACAGCTGACTCGCGCCGCCTAGGATCGAAGCAACGACCCGTGTTCGCAGGGCGATCATCGCCAACGACGCATCGCTCGTCAAGCGAATCCTCAACTCGAACCCCCAAGCCCTCCACAGCCCCGATGCCTCCCCTGAAGGCCTCTCCAACTCGAACCTCCACCTCGCCGCTTTCCTCGGCCATGTCGAAGTCTGCCGCGTCCTCATCGACCTCGGTCACGAAGACCCCGACCCTGCGCTGAACGAGAAACACCAGACGGCTCTCATGCTCGCAGCCGGCGCCGGCCGCACCGAGGTCGTCCACCTCCTCTGTGAGCGGTACCCCAAAGTCATACACAGACGGGATGCGCACAGGCGAGATGCCATCATGGAAGCCAGCCGCGGCGGCCACGATACCGTGCTGCAGATTCTGCTGACGTATGCGCCCAACGGCCCGGAAGAGGCCGTGCAGACCGCTGATCTCGACGGCAACACTGCTCTGCATTTTGCGAGCGGCAACGGTAATCTGCTGGTCCTCAGGACACTCCTCGCTGCCGGCGCTGATGCCGAGAGGAGGAACAAGTGGAGCTGGACGGCTCTCTCCTACAGCGCTACTGTGCAGGCCGAGGTGTACCTGAAAGGCCTCGTGACGGAGATTGAGCGTAGAAAGGTCGTCCGCCGTGAAACGGAGGGCCAGAAGAAGGGCGGCGCTGTGAGGATTGTGGAGGATCCCGATGACGGCTGAGGGCCGAGCCTCGATCTCGGCGACTGAGCTGCGAAGCTCTATACGGAGAAGCACCTCCGATTCTCAAGTGATGCGGGACATGCAGCCTTTTGTGCATGAGAGGTCGTTGGGCTCCCCGATCTGGCGACGTATGCTTCCACACGTGCCATGTCGTTGGCGTGAGAAGCACAGAGCCAAAGTAGAGGACTACTTTGAGATTGTCACAACAGAATGAGTCGCCGACCCGCTTGCAATAAGATCCCCATATCAATGCCTCTCAGCTCAGGCCTACACATGTGGCCACTTGACATAAATGAAGCGTCCACCTTCTTCCGCTGCAGCCGTGTCCGACGCCTCGACTTACAATGACAAACAGAGAATGCTCTGATGGTTCTGACAAGGTCTTGCCAGGACACGCGGTGGGCAACGCTGAGTGCCAAGTGTGGCCATGGCTGCTCCTACGGTTACTGCTCGTTGGGTCCCATGCCATATCACCATGCCGTTCTGGTGAGGGGAGGCATATAATTCAGGTGTTCCAAGCTCACCATCGGAGGATATGGCGGAAAGTTGCCAAACCTCGGCCGTCAGAGCTGTCGCCTACAGGGTCGACGGCAGTTTCGTACCGTCGACTCCAACCAAAGACAGACACCTCCGATTCACGCTCTCGTGGGATGACTAGGCGCTGTCAGTATCGTGAATCACGAAGCCTGCAGGGTATTGCTCTGGTATTAAATGCGCCCCTACACGGACACACCACACTAGAATACCTGGTTTCCAACACGAACAACGCCGCAGTGACATCCATGATCATCCATTCGTACGACTTTCTCACTTCAAGAATTTGACTCAAGTCAGGCAATATCAACAGGAACAAGTGGTGTCACGAGGCACTCTCCGGACAAACTGGATTCCCACCAGAGACCTGGCTCTCGGGGTTCATCTCTCCCGTACCCAGCTACGAAGCTCATCATCGGCCAGTATCTGTATCTTTCAACACGCCCACGCTTCTGGGCGTGGCTCATCGTAGGCACGTTCTACGACAAAGACAACCACAAGGTCTGGAGCACGGAGATTTTTGCGATCCACAACGACCCGCGAGGGTACAGTCCTGAGACTGGTGAGTTTGACGAGGGCCAGCAGCCCCCTGAGCATCTTTTGCACCCAAGTGAGTCAAGTGCTGCGACTGATTCACGTTGACTGTGCCGGTACGAGTCGGCGACTTTCGAATCACAGACTGGGTCGATGATTGTGAATTATCGTGTCTCCCGTCTTCCATATAAGAATGTTGGTTTGTCTTTTACTTCTTGTCTGCTAACCTTTACGCAGACACCACTTTACACCCGCAGAACAACAACAACACCAATTTCGTGCCAGCAGCACGTAGCAATCAAAGACACCGCTTTGTTCCCAGACCTCCCAGTGCCGGTACTTCGAATCCCTTTACACACCAGCCTCTGGTTCTTCGCCCTGCCAGATCTTCGTACTCGCCTTATCCACCGGCACCTCCTCAGGTTAGCGGGTCTTGGTTCACGCATTACAACTCGGAAACACGCCGCTGGGTCAATACCTGGCGCCCACATCCCAACTGACATCCAACATTCAAACACCACCAAGATGAACCCCCGCTTCGGTCTCGACGCCCAAGGCGGCTCACCCCCGGACGCGCCCCTCGGCGGCCAGATGTACGCCCCCGGACAGCCCTACATCCCGCACCACGGCATGGGCAGCTACGGCCTCGGCCATACCCCGTACGGCGGCTACGGAGGCTACAGTACGTCCCTCGCCCCCCCCTTCCGCTGATTGATTGTATGCTCACAAAACCCACCAGGCCACCCGCCCTCCTACCCATACGCGTACCCGTACCCGTACCCATCCCCCCACGCCCAGTACCCCTACTACCAGCCCAACGGCGCCAACAACACCTACGGCCGCGACGCAACCGGCCTCCCGACCCTCGCGCCCTCGATGCCAGCCGCCAACCTGGCCAACACGTCCGGCGGCGTCGGCTGCGAGCCGGGCTACAACTACTTCTTCAGCGCAGCGCACACCAAGATCCACGTCTTCAAGACGCCGACGCCGCCGTGGCAGCTGCCGCCGAGCACGGGCATCGAGTTCCACGCGAGCCACGTGCCCGTGACGACGACGCTCGCCGAGATCCTCAAGGGCTTCGGCGCCTCGGGGCCGACGCCCAAGAAGAACCGCTGCTACGAGATTGCCCAGGCCGGCAACGGTCGCTGGTACAAGGGGCTCAGCTTTGGCGGCGACGAGAAGGACATGATGAAGAAGTCGATCAAGGAGATTGGCTGGGACGAGACGAGGAATGGGCAGCCCGGGGGGAAGCCGGTTGTTTGTCTCTGGCTGACGAAGGATGGTTAGGGGTGTGCTGACGATGATGGGTAGTTGGGTGGTTCCGCTGCGAGTTCGAGGCGCAGCGGTGGGTTGCTTGAAGATGTCTCCCCTCACTGAATCAAATGAGCTTTGCATTATACGAAGATGGCATACAAAGATGGCATACAAAGATGGCATACAAAGATGGCATACAAAGATGGCACGCATTTCAGTTGAAGCCATCTTCAGCAGATTGTTGCTCCAACATCACACATGCATGCAGTGCATCAAAGGCAGCTTAGACACTAATTCAACGTTATGACGTCTAGATCCAACTCCTAGTATGCAGACCAAGATACAGCAACAAAGGAAAGATCCAAAGAACGTGCGTCTACCGACGGCATATCGATACATGAACCACCTCAAATGTCCACCTCGTCCTCATCCAACAGCCCCATACCGCTGTCATGGCGTCTCCTCTTCCTCCCCGAGGCCCTCCTCGCGAGGTCGCCAGACAGCAGGCTCCCACGGCGACCGTCAACGCCGCCCTTCAGCGGCGACGACAGCACGCCCTGCGCCTCCCCATCGCCGCCCTCCGCCGGCTGCTGCGACAGCATCTCGCGGCTCGCGCTGACGACCCTCTCGAGCTCGGCACGCATAGCGTCAATCACGCCCTCGGCCCTCTCCTTCTCTCTCGCGAGGTCTCTCTCGACGCCAGCCTTGTCGACGCGGAGATCCTTGATCGTCTCGTACGCACCTCGCAGCGCGCCGTTGACCCGCTCCACCTCTTCGCGCAGCTCGGCGACGCGCGCGTCACGCACGGCGAGCGCCTTGCCGGCCTGCCGATTCAGGGCTGCGACCTCGCGGGCCTTGGCTGCCGTGACGGCCTCGACGCGGTCAGACAGCGCCTCCATCTCGTCGACGGCGGCCGCGAGCCTCGCCTCGAGCGCCGAAACGGCCTCCTCCTGGGCTGTTTTCGCCTCGACGGCCTCGGCCCTCTCGCCGTCGACGCGCTCGACGAGGGTCTCGAGCTCGGCCATGTCACGTCGGTACCCCTCGGCGGCGCCGCGCAGGCGCTCGTTGCCGACGCGCAGGTCGTCGGCATCGGCGAGGGCGGTCTGGGCGGCGGCGAGCTCGGCGGCGAGCTGGTCCATGGCCTCGACACGGGCAGCGAGCTGCTTGCGCAGGGAGAGCTCCTGCTCGTGGTACTCGTCGACGAGGTCGTCTGCCTCGCGGGCCTTGGTGGCGAGGGCGCGGAGGCGCGTCAGCAGGAGGTCGAGGACCTCGGCGCCGTGGGCCGAGAGCGGCAGTGCGATCTCGCCGGGCGTCAGGTACTCGAGCTCGAGGCGGGCGGTGCGGAAGGCGGAGGACAGGGAGGCCACAATCTCGGCCGCGTCAGAGCCAGGGAAGCCGAGACTCGAGATGGAGGATGTCAGGGTGATGAGGGCGGCAGAGCGGTCGGCTGTTGTGCGCAGGAGGTGGGCGAGCTGGGCCTCGAGGGGGTGGTCTGTGGGTGTGGCCGGGGGTTCATGGTGCGTGGACTGGTCTGCGGGCGTCGCTGGCGACTCGGGTGGTGAAAAGGCAGAGAGGCGGCATGTGAGGCGCGACGTCAGCGCCGTGTAGGATTCGAGCGTGGCTGTGAGCTTCAACATCTCCCGTCTCATCGAGTCAACTTGGTCCTCGAGGTACTGCTTCGCCGGGTCGAGCAGAGACACCTGAACGCCCGTGTCACGGGAGTCAGGCGTCGGCGGTTGGACGACACCGGCACGCCAGGCCGAGGGCGTCTTCGGCAGGGCAGGGCTCGTCAGGGGGGGCGTCGGGAACGAGGTCCTCGCGCGGGTCGGCGTGCTGCAGGCGAGTTCGGCCATGGTCACGTCGCCAAAGCGGTCGTCGTCGTCGGTCAGCGAGTCCATGCAGTCATCAGCAAAAGGGTCCTTGGCAGCGAGCGTCCAGGCATAGGTGCGGCTGTTCTCGACCGTCTTGTTGTCGAGCTGGTCCTTGAGGTCGTCGAGCTCCTTCTCGAGGGCCCATATCCTGTCCGTGTCGAGGACAATGGTAGCGTTTTGGAGCTGGTAGATCTCGGCGTCCTTCTCACGCAGCTCGGCACGCAGACGGGCAATCTCGGCGTCGGCGGCGCGGGCGGCGGCCTTCTTCTCGTCGTGGATAGCATTCATCTCCTCGCTGAGCCCGTTGCGGCGCAGGCGGCGCTGAACGCGGCCGTCGAGGACTTGACGCAGGGGCTCGAAGTGGACCTCGCAGGCCAGGGGGGATGAGGCGGCAGGGCCGAGGCCGCTGCCGGATGCAGTGGTGCGGGCGGGCGTCGAGCGACGCCGCTTCGCTGGCGTGACGCCTCGCGCGAGAGATGTGCGGCGGATCATGGGCGTGAGGCCTGTGGAGGAGGAGGAGGAGGAAGATGCCGAGGCGTGGGTGAGAATGGGGCCTGGATCAGAGAAGCGGACACGACGCTTGGCTTTGTGAGGAGATTTGGCGGTCGAGGACCTTTCAGACGGGCCATTGACCGCTCGAGGCCCAGCAGTGCTTCGACGTGTGCGTCGCAGGGCAATGGGAAGGTCGCTGTCCATGGTGGCGGCTTGACGGCGATGATGACGCCGAGGGCAGGCGTTGAGTGGTAGGCAGCAACGGGTGGCGAGGAGAAGCAAGTTGAGGTTGCATCCACATCGATGGCCTGGAGGCGATGCTGAAGAGTCGAGGCCTGAGTCAATGCTGAGAGTCGAGGCCTGGGTCAATGCTGAAGAGTCGAGGCCTGAGTTAATGCTGAGGATGTGAGGGAGGAGGCGAGAGTCGAGATGAAGAATAAAGAAAAGGCAAGAAGAGATGCAGTTGAAGTAAACAAATACTCGATCCAACGCGCCGACACGCCGTGGGAAGGAGCAAGGGGCGCTGTCTCAGGGCATCAGCAGCTGTGGGCGGATGGGGTCACGCTTGGGGACAGCAGCCTTAGGGGATCTCCAGCAGCTAGTGCCCCCAGGCTCAGGCCTTCAGGGCATTCCAGCTCAGGCCTCCAGGGCATCCCAGCAGCGTGCAATACAGGCCAGGCCTTCAGTGAGGGCAGGGGGGCTTGTTTACTCTCGCCTATTGCGGCCTAGGGCGGCTTGCTTCTACCTGATCCAGCCGTGGCGAGCGACGACAGCCAATGGATCTCGGCGTGACAGGGGTCTTCCAGACAGCATGAGACCTAGGTACCTTACTGTACTTGGATACAAGGTACCTGGTAGGTATCCGTCGTGAATTCGCTGCCCTAAACACCACCCAACTCTTCACCCTCAGCCTTGCTCTATCATCATCCCAGCCTCGCTCTATCATCATCCCAGCCTCGCTCTATCATCATCCCAGTCTCGCTCTCTCATCATCGCCTCGCCTCTTATCATCCCAGGACCATCCTAGACCATCCCAGACCATCCCAGACCATCCCAGACCATCCCAGACCATCCCAGACCATCCCAGACCATCCCAGACAAGCACGTCGCAGCTCACCGCCGCACCAGCTCAGCCATGCTCACCAACGCCGCAAAGCCCTCGCCCCCATGCCGCACCGGCACCCGCGTCGGATACCCGCACCGCGTCCAGTGCGCCGTCCACAGCCGCGCCAGGTACACGGCGAGCTCCATGTTGAAGCCCGTGACGCGCTCGACCTCGGCCCGGTCCCACGCCGCGATGGCCTCCTCGTACGCCCGCGCCCCCTCCTCCTCCGTGCCCCACGCCACGTACCGGCACCGCACCGGCCGGTTGTTGGCGTCGCTGTAGCCCCACGCCAGCCGCCCGTCGTCGCTGACCCGGATCCGCGCGAACACGGACGCGCCCTTGCGCCGCACGTCGCTCTGCGCCTTGCCCTGGGGGGGTCAATACTGAAGGACTCGGAGAACTCGAAGGACTCGAAGGGATGGACTGAAGGGGATGGACAGAAGGACTCGAAGGGATGGACAGAAGGACTCAAAGGGATGGACAGAAGGGGATAGAGGATGAGGGGGAAATACCTTCTGCGTCGGCAGCACGTCCTCCTTGATGATGCCAATCTCGCGCCGCGTCCGCGCCACCTGCCGCCGCGCCAGCTTCGGCGCCGCCGGCGGCCCCAGCTCGCTGCACCAGCCGTTCTCGAAGATGCCGTGCAGAAACGCCCGCTCCTGCGCCTGGCTCGGCGTCGCCCGCCGGCACGCGCGCGACGCCTCGTGGAACATGTCGAGGCACGCAATCTTCTGGTTGTTGCAAAAGTCCTGCGGCCTGCGGTAGATCTGCCCCTTGACCCGGAGGATTTCGTCCTTCGGCGGCGGCAGGTCGCGGCTCGGCGTCGACGCGTCCGAGCTGATGCTGTAGCGGTCGTATGGCGGCTGGCTCAGGGACGGTGACCGCGCCGCTGCTGCCGACGGGCCTGCTGACGGGCCTGCTGATCCTGGCCTGCCGGGTGGTGGCCTCGTCGAAGGTGGCCGCGCGGACGGCGGCGGCCTCTCGGAATCGTGTCTTCGGGGCTGGCTCGGACGTGCGAGCGGCTTTGCCGGTAGCAGCTGCGTCTTGGTCGGCCCCGGGTGCGCCTCTGTCCTCGTGGGGACCATCTTTCGCACGGGGCCCTTGGCTGGCTGTTGAACGTGGTGATTGCCCTTGGCTGGCTGTTGCACCTCGGTCAGCTGTCGCGCAAGATGGCCCTCGGCCGGCTGACGAGCTTTTACACTCTCTTTGGGCTGCTGCCTCGGCCGTTTCGAAACACCCTGCCGCTCGTCATCCGACGAAACAGACGCCTCTCGCTGCCGCTGCTTGCCCTTGTTCCCCGCCGTGCCCTTGTTCCCCGCCGTGCCCTTGTTCCCCGCCGTGCCCTGGCCGCCGTGCCCGGCCGGCTCGCGTCCCCTCTTGAGCCCGACTTTCGGCTTGCCCTCGAGCTTCGGCACCGGAAAGTCAATGCGGCTCAGCGTATATGTGTACGCCCCGTCCGGCCCGTTGAGTATGACCTCCTTCGGCAGCGCCGCCGCCGTGTGCGCCATGGCTGTTGGTCGGTCGTCTCGTCTGGCGGCCGCGAGAGGCAGAGACACGTCCTCGCTTCCTTTCCCTCTCTGTCGCTGTCCCTCTCTGTCGCCGTCCCTCTCTCGCTATCGAATGGTACGATGAAAGAAAGTAAGACGTCGTCGGGTGGTGTATTGGTCGTTCTTCATCTCTCCGTAGCAGCGAAACATGACGCAAAGGTGGCCGCCTCAAAGGGGAGGGGAGGACACCCAGGTATACCTGCTTCAGTGCCCAGGAACGACCCATCAAGCCCCGTCCGTCACCCCGTCTGCCGCCTCGCTCGAGAGCCTGCGGCTCCTCGTCACAGTGGCAGTGACGGCTGCAGACCGACAGAGCGGGGCCACCGACGCCAGAGCTTGTCAACCTGTCTTGCCTGTCAACAGCGTCCCCTGCCGTTCGATCACTGATGACGATCGAAGAGACCAATCATGGGCACGGCTAGAGTGCCGGGACGGGAACGGGCAGGCGCGCCGTGAGTCACAGACTGTGTTCGCCAGCACGAGGGACGCAAAGTGGAAAAAATACACAGAGCGCCGGCCAAACGAGCCAAGGCCCGGAGAGCGCTCAGCTGGGACGCCACACGACGACGGGAGACGCCCAACAGCCCAATCGCGGGAGCACCCGTCTGTCCGTCGAGCAGGGGGTGGCCTCTTTGTGCTGGCCTTGATGGGTCGTTGGGGTGTCGATCTGGCGTGGTGTATTGGGTGAAGGCGCGAGCCTTGGGCATGTCGCTTTGTACGTTCGACATGCCACTGGGCACGCGAAGGCGGGATTCCTGCGTGAATGACCTGGATGGCTGTTGGGTGACGGGTGAAGCCGCCTCCAAATCCGCCAAACACAGGTATCATCCAGACACTCCTAGCTTCAGAACCCTCTCAACACCTCGTCTCAATTCAATTCTCTGAAATTCCACTACCAGATAATCGGCGACGCATTTGAAGACACAGTTTTGAGCCAATGTCAAGTAGTATAACGGTTCAAAGTGAGTTACCTTGAATCAGTGTGGCGGAAGCGGAGGTGAGGTGGATTCTGCCAACACGAGCCAGGCGAGTCTGCTAGGCGAGTCTGCCTAGCTGTCTGCCGACTTGGCGCTGACCCCTGTCCCGATGTGGTGGGCATCTTTGTGATGCATGGGTGGAATATATCTGCGTTGCACATACAGACAACTAGCCTACTCTCTTGGGGTTAAGCAGCACGAGGACTTCCTCGACAGCCGCCCAGAGGACCTTGGCGCACGATACCAGAATCTTCCAGCCCTGTTTCGGCAACCACAAAAGCATGGCAAAGAGACACCAGATGAGGACCCAGACAGCCTTGCCCAGGGTGCCGGCCACCTTGGCGAGCACATCCCAGCTGACCTCGCCAAAGCGGGCGAGAAACCTCCACATGGCTTGCGGCAGCCCCACAAAGACAGCCCGCAAGACAGCCAGCAGCCCGTGCCAGACGTCCCTGGGCGTGATGGAGCGGAAGAACCCCACGACGGCGCCCAGCGCCGTGTGCAGCACGCCGACGACCTGCTTGGCCGCCTCGGCCACGGCGCCGCTCACACCGCGCACGCCGCGCGCGACCCACGCCCACGCAATGGCGAGTGCCGCCGGCGTTTTGGCGAGCATGCTGCCGAGTCGCGCACGCCGCGTCCGCAGAGCCGGCACGCTC